CCCCCCCCCACACACACACTGATCTCAGCACTGTTGGGAAGTGAGATAACGTATTTGAAAGTGCTTTGAAATATGTAAAACAATATACAAATGCGAAGTGCTATTATCATTTTATCATATAAAGGTTAATAGTAGTTAAAAATCTAGTTAGCATTTGCTTTTGTAATACTTATGCCCCTCTCCCTTAGATACTGGAAAAATTGTTTCTAATGAAGTAAACAAAAAGCATAGCATCTAGAGCTACTTGGAGAATTGTAGGAAAAACACTGGATGAGTGCTTTGAAGCAAACAGATTTGTGTTTATCTTTGAATTGATTTCAGATATGCCCTTAGCAGTCATGTGTATATAAGCAGGTGATTTTTTTAATTTATTTGAGTTTTTTAAAAAAATATTAAATTAATTAATCTTCATTTTAAAATTTCAAACAATAGACATATATAAAGTAGATATCAAAAGCCACCCCTCCCCCTAGGCAAATATCACTATCCATAATGGTAACCACCATTAACTGTTTGGTATATATCATACATTCTTCTATAATTTACTTTTTTTACTTAATTGTAAATTTACGTCTTTCTGTGTAAATATATATAGAAATCTGCCTTGTCCTTTTAAAATAGATGCATATTATTCAACTGGATGGATGTATTATGACTAACTTAATCGAAAATTGATGGACATTTAGATCATTGCCTGTATTTTCAATAATACATATAATGCCACAGTGAATATCCTTGAACATATAGCATTGTACACTGTTTCACATTATTTATTGGGATAAATTCCTAGGTGTGAAATTGCTATGTCAGAGAATATGCACATTAAATCTGACAATGTCAAATTGGTCCCTTCCAAGAGCTTTTATTATTTAATAGTAGAGTGGTGTTTTGTTATTTTTTTTTAAATATGTCTTTATTGATTTCAGAGAGAGAAAGGGAGAGGGGGAGAGAGATCAATAGAAACATCAGTGATGAGAGAGTCCTAATTGATCAGTTGCTTCCTGCATGCCCCTTAATGGGGGTCTAGCCTCAATCTCCTGGATCCTAGGTCAGTGCTCAACCGCTGAGCCATGCCCAGCTGGGCTGTTTTTGTTTTTATAAATATATTTTTATTGATTTCAAGAGGGAGGAAGGGAGAAGGGAGAGAGAGATAGAAACATCAAGGATGAGAGAGTCTTTGATTGGCTGCCTCGTGCATGCCCCCTGCTGGGGATCAAGCCTGCAATCCCGGGCATGTGCCTTGACTGGGATTCGAACCTCAGTCGCCCAGATCATAGGTTGATGCTCAACAGCTGAGCCATGCCGTCTGGGCTATAGTGGTGTTTTTAATGATTATTAGTTTGGAAGGTTTTTGGTTTCTGTAATGTACAGAATAGGAAGGTTTTAGAGATGCAGAATTTGAAATTAACATCCCTAAAAGAGAACCAAATACTTGAATGCTTACCATAGTCCAGACCTTGTTTGAGATGTTATCTGGCACCGAGTAGGACAGTAAAGATCCCTACTCTGGTAGAGCTTTTATTCTTCTATGGGAGTAAAAATACAAAGATAATTACACAGATTAGAAAAATACATAATTTTGTCTTTAGTGAACAAGGTATTAAATCTTTTTTCTTCCTTTTCATAATATCTGTTATCCTGCTTCTACTATAGAGTGGTGAGATCAAATCTGTAGATCCCAGACTGATTCATGTGATGCTGACGGATAATTCAACGCCTCAGAATGAGGTACAGTAATGGACTGAGTCTCTGAGCAGACTCATTAACTTACATTATTATGTATATTTCTTATATGTGTATTGCCCATGGATACCCTTTGGATTTCAGCTCTGGCCACTGTGCATTTCTTGCTTTTCTTATGGTCTTGCCTAGCTAAGGGAGAATAGTCTCAAGAAAGAGACCTAGTCTGAGCAAACCCTTTTAATGATAGCTATGTTGCCTAGCAGTTTTAAAATCCATAGCCTAACTATTTCTTTTTACATTCTGTCATGACAGATATATTTGAAAGATACAGTAGACAGTGAAAGCTGTAATAAGTAGTAGTAATATTCATGACCTACCCAGTAATAAGAAATAGAGGAGAAGCTACATTCTATTTTTTTTCCATTAGGTGGTAGTAAGCTCCAAGGGAGTCTGATTTTTCATATCCTAAAAAGATCAATTAAAACAGGTTCCTAGTTTAGTGCTCAGCACACAGTGGATTACTGTATAATTACTTTGAACCAGTCCAACTCTTGGTTCATTCAAAATTATCATAGCCCAAAAAATATACATTATAAATCAGTGCCTGAACCAATCAAGGAATCCTGTGTGATTTCCCTTTAGAACATTGACTAGGATGGCCAGCTGTCCACATATTCCTCATAGTCTCTTAGCACCTCTATAACATTGCTGTCTTGGCCACTCTTGCTAAGTCTAAGTATAGTTCTTCCTCATCTTCTTTATTCAGTCATTGTTGACTTTATAAAACAAGATGAGGGCAGGAAAAGAAGAATCAGCATTAAAGTTAATAGCTTTTTACTACATATTACCACAAATAGGAAAGTCTCTTTACTGTGTTTTCATGGCTGAAAACACCTGTTACTTTGATGGTGTATTGGGCCCCCTTTTTATTCCCTTCCTTATTTCATTTATTCATTTATTATGTGCCAGGTACTGTTCAGCTGGCCAGATATATAGCTGGAGAGTACTGGTCTCATTGTCCTAGGCTGTCTACTCACATGTGAGTAGCTCACCGTAAGTAGGACATACATATAAGTTGTTGCTCAAGGATGTTGCTGTGAGCCAGGCTCTGCAAGTTGGCCAGATGAATCAGAGGTGAGATCCATCTATGGTTTTCAGCAATAGATGTTGATTCTTTCCTTTTCAGCTTTGCCATGATGTTCCTATCTTCTTAGCTAGTAAATCATAACTATTATTGACAGTTCTACCAAGTTTTACAGTGACCCTTCTTAGAGATCCATGGTCACCTCATCTCTTGAATGGGCAAGAAAGGAGAGATTTCATTGATCATGCTTCTGTAATTTACAACAGTGAAAACTGGGTGGTGATAGAGGTTGAAGAAGGGCTAAAAAAGTTTTGGAAGGACCAAATGAAAACAATTTTTAGCAAACAGAAACAGCTCTTAAATGAAAATTTAGAAACTTAGATTAATATTACCAAAAGTATGGGTGAAACAGAAAGAAATCTTGGGCTTTGGTTAAGAACTGAAGAAGGAAATTAAAGGAGAAAAGTTGGAAATGAAAGGAAGGAAGGAAGGAAGGGAAGAAGGGAGGGGAGGGAGGAGAAGGGAGGGAAGGAGGGAGAGTGAAAGAACAATACAGGAACTAGAACTGGCTAAAGATATATAAAATTTGAAAAAGTTTGTTATACCTATAATGATTACAACAGAGATACAGATCTGCACAAAGAATCTATAGATATTCAAGGGCAATAAGAGTAGACTGATTAAGTTAGATAATATTAATAGTTAAATTGATTAAGTTGGATAATATTAATAGTTAACTAACTGTTACTAGCTTATTGCCACCCTAACACATGTTATCGTCAAATTAAACTATCTGAAAGTTATCTGAATAAAGCTAAAATAAATACCTGCTTCTTGCTGGGATACCAGTCTAAGAATATTTCAGATACAAGTCCTTGCTGCACGAAGATGGTATGAAAGAACGTTAGCCGTGTCTCAAGCCTCTCTCCTTTTGTTCTTCTCAGGGGAGAAGATAGGAATTGCCCCTTCTAACCTGTATCTTTTAACATTATTCGGCCTCTCAAATAAGGCACAAGTAAGATTTCATGAGATAGGCTGAAATTATTGAAAGGGCTAAGAGATGTGACTATTTGGTCTATAGTAGCCTGCCTTTTTTTGCTTTCCTCTGTCTAATGCTTTGAAATAAGATCTGGAGATTGTTTGTAACTTTTTAGTGTCTATAGGAGTAATCCAAACCTGTCTCTGTTGGGCTCACTTTTCCTTTGGCCACAGTCTCACAAATGTTGGTTTTCCTATTGTTGTGACCAGTTTTTAGTGACTTCTGTAGGAGGAGATTTTATATTTCAATATTTGAAATGCCAGTTTCTGTCAAACAAGGAGATAAATATGAAATAAAGCTGATTTTTTCCATCAAGGGGCAAATGAGCTCCCAGCCTAGCTTTGGCAGTCTATATTGTAGAAGAAATTCCACAGATTTTTAAAACCTTCCTTCATTTGAGGAAGTAGTACATTTTATTTAAGGGAAGGTTTGCCAAGTGAGTTAATCTCTAGTGAACATTATCTTGAATATATATGTGTAAATTGAGTCACAGGAAGATTAGAGCTTTTCAACAAAGGGAATGTCTTAGAGTTGGCATTGGAACTTGGCAGTCTGTGCGTGCTTTGATTTTTCTATTTCTAGAGATGGGAAAGAGCTAATGGTTTATGGTTTTCACAAGATGGAAAGTCCCTTGTAATAAATCTTCTTTGAATTTTGTTTTGTAGGGGGGTACGTTAAAAGCAGTAAAATCTTCCAAAGGAAAGAAGAAGAGAGAGAGCATAGAGGGGAAAGATGGCCGGAGGAGAAAAAGTGCTTCGGACTCTGGGTGTGACTCTGCATCAAAGAAATTAAAAGGAGACAGGGGTGAAGTAGACAGTAATGGGAGCGATGGAGGTGAGGCAAGCCGAGGGCCCTGGAAAGGAGGGAATGCCAGTGGAGAGCCAGGACTGGATCAGAGAGCCAAACAACCACCAACTACATTTGTCCCTCAGATTAACCGCAACATTCGCTTTGCCACTTACACCAAAGAAAACGGCAGGACTCTGGTGGTGCAGGATGAACCTGTAGGTGGGGACACAACTGTACCTTTTACTCCATATCCTATAGCCACAAGTCAGACACCTTTGGCCCCAGAGGTGGGTGGAGCTGAAAGCAAAGAGGCAGGAAAAACACTGGAACAAGTTGGTCAGGGCATGGTAGCTTCAGCAGCTGTGGTCACTACCGCCAGCTCTACCCCAACCACGGTGAGGATCTCAGACACTGGCCTTGCAGCAGGGACTGGGCCGGAAAAACAGAAAGGCAGCCGGTCGCAGGCCCCAGGAGAGGTGAGTTGTTTCAGGGGCAGATTTGCAAGATTTGGTTTCACTCTTTCACTCTACTTTCTTTCTTGGTAGCACATTAAAAGGCATCTCAAATGCCCCAGGGAAGGAGTATTTCTGAGATGTGCTTGAATTGAACGCTGTGGATGGACCTTTACTGCTCATTGGGCAAATGTGTATATTTTCATAACTATTAGCTCTTAAAAGTCACCTGAACAATTAGACTAATCAAAACTGATTATGCAACCCAATTTAATGAGACGTTAAGACAGATCTTTTAATTCAATTATCTATTTAGTTCACGTAGTGGTTGAGCTGCCACCAGGCCTGTGAGAGACAAGGTTAATGAATTACAGTGTTGGTAATAGTAACACTATAATTAAGGCTTTGTGAAAGCCACTATTACCAACCCATGTTTTCAGTTAATCATTTTCTGTATTTTCCCTCGAAGTTGGGCTTCTTTCCCATGATTAGATATGGCCATAAAATTTCCTTTCCCTATCTTTATCTTTTATTTTTATTATTTATTAATTGATTTTAGAGAGAGAAACAGCAATTTGTTGTTCCACTTATTTATGCATTCATTGGTTCATTCTTGTATGTACGCTGACTGGGGATCGAACCCATAACCTTGGTGTATTGGGATGATGTTCTAACCCACTGAGCGACCCAGCCAGGGCCTAACTTAATCTTTTTAAGCCTAATCTGGAAAATTTGATGGAATTAATCACAGTAGTATCCAGTTTACTATTTTCTTCCTTTTTTTTTTAATCCTCACTCAAGGATATGTTTTTTCATTGCTTCTAGAGAGAGGAAGGGAGAGGGAGAAAGAGAAAGAAACATCAATGTGAGAGAGACTTTGATTGGTTGCCTCCCTTACGTGCCCCAACCGTGGACTGAACCCAAAACCCAGATATGTGCCCTGACTGAGAATCAAACCTGAGACCCTTTGGTGCACAGGATGATGCTCCAAACAACTGAGCCACACTGGCCAGGGCTAATTAATATTTTCTTTATCTGATATGCATGTATTGTTGCCAAAGTGGAATTTTTGTTAAATACAAATTAACGTTAACTTGACTCCCCAATCAAATTTAAAACATATTAAAATCAGTTCTCACCATCTTTGGACTCTTTTTTGGTCACCAAAGTATGATTTATGATGCTAGTCATAGTTTTTTCAAGCTGGAATATAAAATACTGAAATACTAAATGATTTTTTAAATTATGTATAGGAAACTACTGTGTGCTAAGTACCATATATTATGAACAAAGAATTGAAATCCCTATTTGAAGGAGCTCACATCCTAAAATGGAATCATTTTAGGTATCACAATGCCAGGTAAAACATGGCATATACATTTCATCTGATTTCTTCCTCCCTAGAAAATGCAATTTGTTAATTCCTAGTGTGCAGGGATGAGGAAGGAGGTGAAATGTCCAGGCAGAAGAGAAGAAGGCCTGTAGATGCAAATTTCACACTGTTCATGGTTTGCCCTCTATTAGTTGATCAGCATTCCCAAGAGAACTAGGTGAGGATCTTATGTGGATTTCCAGATTGAATATCATCATATTGCCTAAATTCATTAAAATAAATGTCATGTCAAAGGCAGTGTGGATGAAAATGGGGAACTACAAAATACACTAAATTTTACATGCCACTGAATGCTGTTATTCTTAGTAGCAAAGCCGAATAGGTGAAATGTGGATTCCAAACAGGTTGGAGAAATTTCTGTCACTACATCAGTAATATTGCTAAGGTGTCAGCCTTTTCTCCTTGGGGTAGGATTTAAAAATACAGAAAGGGATGTTTCCATTACGATGTCAGATCTAAATAAGGACACAGCCCCCACCCAGGCAACTTCTTGCCCTAAAAATTGAGTTGAAATCAGCTTGTCATCACTTTCGTATAAGAAAAGGATTTGGAATTTAATCATTTGAAGAAAAATAAAAGACCATCCAAATTGTTCTTCATTCATGTGTGTATTTACTTTTAAAGGGTAACTTTAGTAGTGAAACCTTAGCTACCTCTGCTGGCTCCTTGCAGTCATGCAGGTGTCAAGGCTCCTGGCCAAATACTGCTAGTGAAGGAACTGTAAAGCCTCAGGGCTGTGTCTGTCTGTTCTCTTTTTTGTTGTTGTTGGAGGGGGTTTAAGTCAGTGATTTTTGGTTAGTGGGAAAGAAAAGAAAACAGAATTATGAACTAAATGCCCTGAAACAGTCTCTAGCAAATATCATCAGAAGGCAAGCCATGGGAGCCTGTCTGGTTCTCATGCCTCTGTGCCACCCTAAAGGAAAGTCCTAATGTAGACTCCTCTTGCATATTTAAAGAATACCTTAAGTAAATTGAAACTCTCTCTTTTTTTTCTTTTTCCTTTTTTTTTAACATAGCCCCTTCCTATCTGGAACATTTTTAAAATTGTGGTAAAGTAACATATAACATAAAATTTACAGTTTTAACCATTTAAAGTGTACGGTACTGTGGCATTTAGTATTGCCACAATGTTATGCACCCATTACCACTGCCTAGTTCCAGAAATTTTCATTATCTCAAAGGAAACACTGTATTTATTAAGTGGTCATGGAATAATGTATTTCCAGTGTTTTAAAGTAAATGTTCAGGGTTATCATCATCTGCTACCTGAAGGTTAATTTTTTTTTTTTTTAAGTAATCTGTGGTTTGTTAGTCAAGTGCTAGGATCTGAGTTTTATTAAATTAACAAGTATTACGTAAGTGCTCATACCTACCTGTAGATGTTTCTGTGTATGTAAATGGGTGTGTAATATATATGAAAGTGATACTACTCTTCTTTATGCACACACAGAAGTTAACATTTTTCAAGGTAAAAAACAAGGAAAGTATTTTTTTATTGTCCAATTTGTTATGCTGGATGCTTTTGTTTGGTAGACATATCAGCATCTTTACTTTTCCTAGTTGGAGACTTGTTAGATCCTAATGATAGCATAAGTATTTGATAACTAGTGTGCTTTTTAAAAAATATATATATATATCTTTATTGATTTCAGAGAGAAGAAAGGAGAGGGGGAGAGAGAGAGAGAGAAACATCAATGATGAGAGAGTCATTGATCGGCTGCCTCCTGCACGCCCCCGACTGGGGATTGAGCCCGCAACCCTGGCATGTGCCCTGACCAGGAATTGAACCCCGATCGCCCGGATCCTAGGTCGACGCTCAACTGCTGAACCACGCCCGGCTGGGCACTAGTGTGCTTTTTTAAATTTAGCATCTTTAGGTTTAACTTTAATTGAAACAATCAACTTTTAGGTTGACTTGGACCCATAACTAAATGGCCAAGTTTTAAAAGGGTCCATCTTCAAGAGTTTCAGATTAATAAAAGAATACTTTCCCTTAATGTATAATGGGCTTGTTATAGGGCTGAAATCACTTTTTTAAGATGGGAAATTGTAATAGCTTAAATAAATCAAAACTTTAACAATAGCCTCTAAGGTCATTGAGGTAGATTAATATTACATGGTCACTTGGTATGTTTTAAAGTAAAAGCTGATATCTGTTCAAGAATCCTTTTCACCAATTCCCTGAGAGAGTCATTATTTCCAAATAGATACCAAGAAACCCACACGGACTCCTAGTGCTATAACAACCAATTGGCTGGCAACCAAGGGAGTGGCAGGGTGAATGACATCTTGCTATCTCTAGCTCCCCTTGCTAAATATGCCCTCTGTGTGGTCTGTGGCATGTTTCTTCCCTAATGCTGATAAAATCTAGTTATAAGAGCAGTTTTCACGGAATTGTAGGAGAGAAAAGTTGATTGACCCATACATAAGAAATGTTGGCGTAAGTCCAAGAAAGAGATCATAAGGTTGTCAAGAGAAGTCAGCATCACTAACTCAGGCTGTTTTTGTTTTTTTGTGTTTTTTTTTTTTTTCAGAATTCAAGAAATTCTGTTCTGACCTCTTCTGGATTTGGAGTGTCTCTCCCAAGTTTATCACAACCTTTGACTTTTGGAAGTGGAAGGGTCCAGTCCAATGGGGTTCTAGCCACAGAGAACAAACCTTTGGGCTTCTCTTTTGGCAGTAGCTCTGCACCAGAGTCTCAGAAAGACTCTGATCTCTCCAAAAACTTGTTTTTTCAATGCATGCCCCAGACTTTACCCACCAGTAACTACTTCACTACCGTTTCAGAGAGTTTGGCTGATGATTCCTCCAGTCGAGACTCATTCAAACAAAGCCTTGAGAGCCTATGTAAAGGCAGATCCACTCTTGGAGCTGACACTAAATCAGGCTCTAAGGCTGGCGGCTCTGTGGACCAGAAAGTGCCTACAGAGTCCATGCCCACCCTCACACCAGCCTTCCCACGGAGCCTCCTCAATGCCCGCACCCCAGAGAGTCATGAAAATCTATTTTTACAGCCCCCTAAACTGTCCCGGGAAGAGCCCTCTAACCCTTTCTTGGCATTTGTGGAGAAAGTTGAACATAGCCCTTTCAGCGGCTTTGCATCTCAGGCATCATCAGGTAGCTCTTCCTCTGCTACCACTGTCACCTCCAAGGCAGCACCCAGCTGGCCCGAGTCTCACTCCTCTTCAGATTCAGCATCTTTAGCAAAGAAGAAAACTCTCTTCATCACAACTGACTCCTCCAAACTGGTGTCTGGTGTTCTGGGCTCAGCTCTTACCACCGGGGGTCCAAGCCTCTCTGCCATGGGAAATGGCCGCTCCAGTTCTCCCACCAGCAGCCTCGCCCAGCCCATTGAGATGCCTACTCTGTCCTCCAGCCCCACAGAGGAGAGGCCAACTGTGGGGCCTGGGCAGCAGGACAATCCCCTCCTCAAAACCTTTAGTAGCGTCTTTGGCAGGCACTCAGGCAGCTTTCTGTCCTCCCCAGCAGATTTTTCACAGGAGAACAAAGCTCCTTTTGAAGCTGTGAAAAGGTTCTCACTGGATGAGCGAAGCTTGGCTTGCAGACAGGACTCTGACTCCAGCACCAACAGTGACCTGTCAGATTTGAGCGACTCTGAGGAGCAGCTGCAGGCCAAGACTGGCCTGAAGGGGATTCCAGAGCACCTGATGGGGAAGCTGGGCCCCAATGGGGAGCGCAGTGCTGAGCTGTTGCTGGGCAAAGGCAAAGGGAAGCAGGCCCCCAAGGGCCGGCCTCGGACTGCACCCCTGAAAGGTGATCCTTCTGGGGCTATACAGGGGCTTGGCTCTGGCACTAGCCTTGAATGCCTGTTGTGCTCTTGGACAACAGAGGCTCTTCCTTTGATGGAAAATTCTATAATCTCAGAATTTTATAGCCTAATAAAGACCCCTCACTAGACCTGTTTCAGGGCACAATTGCTTGTAAATCAGCATTGTAAGAGGGGTATCTGTTAGTATAATGATTCCCACAAAAGGAGATCCTTGACCTTCCTTAGAAACCTGTCTGTCAAAGCGCCCTTTCCGTGTGTTCTCATCCTTTCTGCTCCCCTCTGGCCCATCAGTATTCACCCCTCACATTGCTTCTCTCTGGCACATATATAAGGTCCAATGCCTTTTCCAAAAGCCATTAAATCCTGTGGTGTGAGGTTTGGTCCAGAAGTGTGTAAGAGTTGATGGTTAAAAAAAAAGAAAAAAGAAAGTCTGGTGGTAAAGGCACCTGTTGTCATTAGGAATTGGTATCCCATGGGAGCTCGATTAGAACAGTCTATCCTGAGGGGCCAGAGACAGGTGGCTGCTACCTTCTGCCTTCTTGGGTTTTCCTTCCTCATGCCCAGTGTTGTTTCACTATAATGGGGCACTTCTCCATGGTCCTTAGCTCCCAAGTGAAGCCTTTTTGCTCCTTCTGCTCCCTTTCCGTCAAGGATGGACCTGATAGGCACATTCCCAAGCAGTGCAAAGAGGAGCAGCCCAGGTCAGAACAAGTCTCTATCCCCAAAAGGATCATGTTATTGAGTCTCATTTATACCTGTCACGAGCAACCATTTCTCCTTTCTCCCTTGCCACAGTTGGCCAGTCAGTCCTGAAAGATGTAAGCAAAGTGAAGAAGCTGAAGCAGTCCGGAGAGCCCTTCCTACAGGACGGTTCATGCATCAATGTAGCCCCTCACCTGCACAAGTGTCGTGAGTGCCGCCTGGAGCGGTATCGGAAGTTTAAGGAACAGGAGCAAGATGATTCCACTGTGGCCTGCCGCTTCTTTCACTTCCGGAGGTACCCAAACTTCTCTCTGTCTCCTTCCCAGTTCCCATTAGTGATACATAACTCCCACTGTTGTTCTAAAACTGTAAATACGTCTCACCGTTTTCTTTTGTTCTCCTTACACCTTTGCTCTCAGAGTCTGTGCTGAGGCTCTGCCAGTCACTACTTACTTGTTTGGATTGTGAAATGACATGTGGCTTTGTCCTTGGAGAACTGAAGTTGAACGGTCTCAGCTGCCAGCCCCTGATCTGCGTTGAGCTGTTCCTCACTTGGGGTCCATTTGAAACCAGTGGTGTAAGCAGAACTCCATGTTGGGTTATGAATCTGCCTGACCACTTACTCTGCTCTTCAGGGCTAGAGTGACTAAAGCCCCATAGAAAGAGGGGACATACGATTAGAGGATGATATAAATTGTGTTTGAAATAGAGAAAACTGATGAAAATCCTAGAAACATCCCCTGTTTTTACCAGACAACAGCTATTTAGTCACTCTCTTCTGCTTGATACATTTGAAGAGGAATTTCTTTTATTTTTTTTTTAATCCTTACCTGAGGATATTTTTTTCCATTGCTTTTCAGAGATAGTGGATGAGGGAGGGGGAGAGAGAGGAAGAGAGAAACATCGATGTAAGAGAGGCACATTGATTGGTTGCCTCCTGCATGCACCCTGACTGGGGCTAAGCCTTCAACTGAGTACGTGCCCTTGGTCGGAATCGAACTTGGGACCCTTCAGTCCATCAGCCAGCACTCTAACCACTGAGCAAAACTGGTTAGGGCAGCAATACGTTTTGAAGATGATTTTCTGATGGGTTAGATGTGGAATGTGAAAGAAAGAAAGGAATCAAGGTTAATTCAGGATTTGGCCTGAAAACTGGTAGAATGGAATTTCCATTTACTGATGAAATTTCTCAGGGAAAAGCAGGTTTGGGAAGGAAAATTAGGAGCTTTAATTTGGGTGTGTCATATTTGAGATGCCTGTTAGATTTCCAAATGGAGATGCTGAAAGGGCAGCTGGACATACAACTCTAGAGCTGAGAGAAGAGGTCCAGCCCTAGCCAGTTTTGCTCAATGGTTAGAGCATCAGCCCATGGGCTGAAAGGTCCCGGGTTCGATTTTAGCCAAGGTCACATACCTTGGTTTCAGGCTCTATCCCCGGTCCCTGTCGGGTGCTTGAGGGAGGCAGCCAGTCAATGTGTCTCTCTCACGTTAATGTTTCTCTCTCTCTCTGAAAAGCAATGGAAAAAATACCCTCAGGTGAGGATTAAAAAAAAAAAGAGGTCCAAACTGGAGATAAAAATATTTGGATGTCACCAAGTATTTAAAACTATAAGTCTAATTAGATCACTTAAGGAATGTAGATAGAGAAGAGAAGGAGCTTAAGGACTGAGTTCTAGAGCTCTCTAGTGTTTAGAGATGGGAAAGATGAGGAGGAACAATAAAAGAGGCTGAGAAAGAACAGCCAGTGAGGTAGCCTAGAAGACAGCTGAAGAAAGTTTCCAGGAAGGAGTAATGAACTGTGGCAAATGCTGCAGACTGGGTCAAGTAAGCTGTGGGCTGGATGTGACCATTGGATTTAACAAGGGAGGAATGACCGTGTCAAAAACAGTTTTGGTGGATTGGTGGGGGAAAGCTTGATAGGAGTGGATTGAGAGAGAATAAAATGGGAAAGAACTAGAACTGACAACAACCAGTATAGACAACTCTCTTAAGAGCTGTTCTAGCAAGCAAGAGGGTGTGGGATCTAGAGGACTTTTGAGATATAAATTGTTAGAGGATTTTCGAGATGGCAAGTTCAAATACTGACTGATTCAGCAGAGGAAAATAGAGGATGTAGAAAAAACTTGTGGAGGGGTGTCTAAAAGATGATAGGATGTCGAGCATTGGTGGAGAGGTTGGTCTTCGCTGGGACCTAGTTCATTCATATTAGCAGAAGATCAGATGGTGTACATGGTCCCAGTTGCAGGAAGGCGTGGGGGTGAGAGTTTGTGGGAGTTCTCTTCTGGCTCCTTGTATTTTCTCAGTGGAATGTTTAGGAAGGTCCTCATGGGGAAAATAATATTGGAGGAGGTTTGAAAAGAAGAAAGAGATGAAACAGGCATCTAGGAGAGGCTACCAGGTAATATTAAGGACTCGCCTAATGAAGGTAGACATGTATTTAAAAATATATTTTATTGATTTCAGAGAGACGAAGGGAGAGGGAGAGAGACGGAAGCATCAATGATGAAAGAGTCATTGATGGCTGCCTCCTGCACACTCCCTACTGGGGACCGAGCCCACAACCCAGGCATGTGCCCTGACCAGGAATTGAACCTCGATCTCCTGGATCATAGGTCGACATTCAACCACTGAGCCACACCGGCTGGGCACTAGGCATGAATTTAAAGTGTGACAGCATGGCTCTGTGTTTTTCTCTGGTCACATTTAGTGGTGGGGGCATAGATGGTAGAACAAGTGGATGGAGAAACTGATAGGCATTTCTTAGGACAGCTTTTTAAAGAACTAGTAAGTATTAACAAAATTTCTTATTAATGCAAAGAATGCATACTATGTTGGTCAAATGTGATGAAAATTCTTAACTCAGCCTAATTCCTGTCAAGTCCCATTTAATTTCTTTTAGGTCCTAGGATTTTAGGTTTGTGTTAGTTTTCATGGCTGCTGCTATTTACTATGTATTTCACTGTCTGCCTTGTCTCAGGCTGATCTTCACTCGAAAAGGGGTACTCCGTGTGGAGGGGTTTCTGAGTCCCCAACAAAGTGATCCTGATGCCATGAACCTGTGGATTCCCTCTTCCTCCCTAGCAGAAGGGATAGACCTAGAAACCTCAAAATACATCCTGGCCAACGTTGGGGACCAGTTCTGTCAGCTTGTGATGTCCGAGAAGGAGGCCATGATGATGGTAGAGCCACACCGTAAGGCACCAATGCGTCTTCCAGGCATTCCTAATTGAAACTTCCATTTTTATTTGCTTAAGGGGAGGAGTGGAAGGAGTGGCAGATGGCATGTTCTGTAGATGAATTAAGACTGATAAGACTTCTCTGTAGCAAACTATATATATAGCTGAGGCCCTAACAATATACAGCAGACCTTATTTTTTTAGTCTTTGAAAGTTAAAAAATCAAAAACTCTTGCTTACCGTTTTCAGTTTTGTAGCATAGCTTCCATAATAAGCATTTTGATCTCTCCTTGGGTTTGGTTCACTCTGAATATTTTCAGCTTGCTTTGAACCAACTTGTATTAGTAAACGATATTCTATGCTATGTAAATAGATTTAGTGCTACTGTGTGCCATATTTCACACCTAGAACCCATATTATTCAGATGCATGTGTTATTTCCCTGTCTATGAGATACCGGATCCTATTTCTAGGGGATGGTAAATTGTACTATGAAATTATTTCCTACATTTCAGGAGAAGAATCCTTTTTCAAACTCCCCAAATTGAAAATTTTACAGTATCTTAAGTAACAACATATTTGGCATTCTTCTCTCTATTGCCGCTTGTTCAGAAATATTAGAAATTCCGTGTATTTTGTTTCTCTTACAGTTATAGAAACAGACGCTTCGTGAATCTTTGAGCTTTATTGCTGGACAAAATGACTTGAGTAGGAATCAGTGTATCTGGGCTGGGATCTTTTGCTGTTGTTGTTCAGGATGGTTGATGCCAACAGTATTTCTCGTCCTCTTCCCACCAGAGAGAGTGGCATGGAAGCGAGCAGTGCGTGGTGTACGGGAAATGTGTGATGTATGTGAAACAACTCTCTTCAACATTCACTGGGTTTGTCGCAAGTGTGGATTTGGGGTCTGCCTTGACTGTTACAGGCTGAGGAAAAGCCGTCCACGCAGTGGTAAGCAAATACTGTCCTTTATAGTTCAAAAGGTAACCTGTCAGTGGAGGAATAGTACTTGGAAATTAAAGCAAGAATGAGTTTGTGCTCTCTCCTTAGTCACTTAGCTTCATTCATTATAATTGCCAATATTTCAGCATCATTGGGAAGGCTAAAATAAGCCAAGAAGGGTTATTGTTCATCTTCTCTTGTTTTGTTTTGTTTTGTTTCTAATAACATCTTTATTGAGATACAATTTACATGTCATAAAACTCACCCATTTAAAGTGTACAATTCAGAGGTTTTTAGTATATCCTCAGGGTTGTGCACCATCACCACTATCTAATTACATTTTCATCATTTCATCACCCCAAAATGACTTTTTGGGGTGATGAAATGACTTGTAGCCATTGGCAGTCACTCCCCATTCCTTCCTTCTCTCAGCCCTTGGTAACCAGTAATCTATTTACTCTATTTACTATCTCCCTAGATTTGCCTGTTCTGTACACGTCATATAAGTGGAGTCATACAGTATTTGACCTTCTGTGACTCGCCTCTTTTTACTTAGCATACTGTTTTAAAGTTTCATCCATGTTATAGCATATATCAGTAATTCATTCATTTGTACTGTCAAATAATATTCCATTGTTTGGGAATACTACCTTTGTTTATTGATTTATCAATTGGTGAACATTTGCATTGTTTCCACTTTGGGCTATTACAAATAGTGCCTCTGTGAACATTTTTGTATATAAATTGTGTGAACATATATTTTTCATTCTTTTGTGTATATACCTAGGAGTGGAATTGCTGGGTCATATGACAGTTATATTTTAACCTTTTCAGGAACTGCCAAACTATATTTCAAAGTAGTTGTACTATTTTGTAATTCTACCAGCAATGTATGAGGGTTCTAATTTTTCTACCAACACTTGCTATTGTCTGTGTGTTTTTTTATTATAGCCATCATAGTGGCTATGAAGTAGTATTTTGTTATGTAGTATTGATTTGCATTTCCTTGATGACTAATGATGTTGAGCATCTTTTTGTGGGCTTGTTGGCCCTATGTTTATCTTCTTTGGAGAAATGTCTGTTCAAATCCTTTGCTTCTGTTTGTTCTTGCTTTTATCTTATTACATGCCAAGAATCCTCCTTGCTCCTTCACCTCCTCCTTCTTCCACTTCAGAATACATTGTAACCATTGCAACAGTAGCTTGGGCTATTAGGATGTGAAACCACTTCCACATCTTATTATACCAACTATGTTATCTTTGGCTAGTTAAGCCCTCAGAGCCTCAGTTTCCTTATGTATAAAACAAAGATAATATGAGTACTTCTCTCACAACACTGTTGTGAGGTTTAAATGAAATAATGTGGGTAAAGTGGTTAGCACTGGGCCTGACACCCACTAGGTACTACTTGTCAAGTAGCTGTTAGATATTCCACTCCTGCCCATGAATAATTAACTGCTACATGAATTGCCCTCCTGTCTTAAACAACAAGAAAACCAGACAAAATATATGAAACCGTTTTTTCAGACATTGGACAACGGGCAGCATAAGTGTATGATCCCTATGAGAAGGGAAGAAACAAAGGGAACCCTACAATTGCCCCAGTTTAACGCCTAGAGGCAATTTCCAGACTGTAGCACAGGGAAAGGCAACTAAAACAGAGCTTGGCAACCTCACTGAATTGAAAAAGAGATCAGAATCTGAGACGAGTCAGGCAGAGTACTGAAGAAGTCACAGTTGAAGAGAGAGAGAACACCAGATAGCTGCAAAGAGATCATCTCAATTTTTTAAAAAAATACATCTTTATTGATTTCAGAGAGAGGAAAGGAGAGGGAGAGAGAGAGAGAGAAACATCAATGATGAGAGGGTCATTGATCAAGCCCGAAACTGGGCATGTGCCCTGACTGGGAACCAAACCCTGATGGCCTGGATCCTAGGTCGACACTCAACCGCTGAGCCATGCCCGGCCGCGCTCAATTTTTTAACTCTATAATGATGTGCACATGCGTGAGTTGAAACTCCTCAAGGCCCAATAAAGAACCTTCAGAAAGCAAGTGATTGAATAATTTACAGAATTCAAAATTTATGTTCCCACCAACCAAAGTAGAGAGATACTGGATAGAGCCCAAAAGGGCCACATCTTAGTAGTGGGACTAATTTAGTCCCAGATTTAAGGCTTCTCTGGAGCTACCATAAAAAAGTGTAAAGCAAACCTTGGAAGGATCAAACTGATCTGTAAGTTACTTAACTACCCTCCAGACAAAAACCAAACGTTCTTTAAAGTATTATAACAACAACAACAAAAATGGATTACAACAAAATCCAGTATTCAGAAACACAAATGTCACAAAGCTCTGTGTTCAATCAAGAATTATCAGGTATGTAGCTGGTTTGGGCATCAGCCTGTGGACTGAAGGGTCTCGGGTTCAATTCTGGCCTAGGGCATGTACCTCAGTTGCAGGCTTTTTGGCTGCAGGGTCAGGAGGCAACCAATTGATGTCTCTCCCCCTCTCCCCCTCCCCCTCTCCCTGTCCCTCTCCCTCTCTCCTTCCCTCCCCCCCTTTCTACTCTCTCTGAAAAGCAATGGAAAAAATGTCCTCCAGTGAGGATTAAAAAAAAAAAAGAAGATAAACCTTTGCCCAGCTGAGCGTGGCTCAGAGGTTAAGCGTTCACCTGGGATCCAGGAGATTACGGCTCAATTCCCGGTCAGGGCACATGCCTGGGTTGCAGGCTTGATCCCCAGTGGGGGCGTTGCAGGAGACAGCCAATCAATGACAACTCTCTCATTATTGATGTTTCTCCCTCTCCCCTCTCCCCTCTGAAAATCAATAAAGACATGTTTGAAGGGAAAAAAAAGATCAGGTATGCCAAAAAGCAGAGTAATATGACTAATAATTGGGGAGGGGGAGTCAATCAATAGAAACAAATCAAGAAATGGTGATATTGATGGAATTAATGTAAAAGGACCTTAAAGCAAACTATTATAAAATCTTATAAATATGCTTGAAGAAATAGGAAAACATGAGCATGACACAGAGAGAAATAGAAGACATATAAAAAACCCAAATGAAACTTCTAGAGATGAAAAAAATCACCAAAAATATTTTAACAATAGGTGGAATTAGCAGCAAATTAGACACTGCAGATGTAAGAGTGAACTTGAAGATATAGCAATAGAAACTACTCAAAACTAAGCACATCCCTGGCTGATGTGGACCAGTTGGTTGGAGCGTCATCTCATGCACCGGAGGTGGTAGGTTTGATTCCTGGTCAGGGTGCATGGGAGAGGCAGCTGATCGATGTTTCTCTGTCACATCAATGTTTCCCTCTCTCTCCCCCTTCCTTTCTCAGAAATCAATAATAATAATAATAACCTGCCCAGCTGGCATGGCCCAGTGGTTGACCATCAACCTATGATCCAGGAGATCGAGGTTCAATTACCAATCAGGGTACATGCCCGGGTTTCGGACTCAATCCCTAGTAGAGGCGTGCAGGAGACAGCCGATCAATTACTCTCTCTCGTCATTGATCTTTCTCTCTCCCTCTCCCTTCCTCTCTCTGAAATCAATAAAAACATAAAAAAAGAATAAAAATTAAAAGAATAAATTTAAAAACAACAACTGAGCACGAAAGAAGTAATACTTTAGTTTATAATTTGATGAGTGTCTTGCTGAACTACAGGAAATACCAAACTTATAATTGGGGTTTCATAAAGAGAATGGATGGGAGTTCAGAGACAGAAAATAATTGTACATTTGTAATACTTGGCTTTATTAGCCAAAAAAATTCCAAATTTGATGAAAATTATAAAACCACAAATCCAGCAATACACCTCAAACAGATAAAAGGTTAAGAAAACCACACCAAAGCACATCATAACCAACTTACTGAGAAACAGCGATAGAAAAGAAGCAGCAGATCCACACAACAAAGAAAGTTAAAGGTAGTCATTCAGGCAGTAGAAAATGATAAAATATGGAAATTTGGATTTACACAAAGGAATGAAAAACATATTTACAATGGTAAATATGTGGGCACATATTAAAGACTTTTTTCTTATTTTTATTCTTTTTAAAAGGTTAAAGAAAAATAATAAAGTATTATGGAGTTTATACTGTACATAAAATTAAAATATGTAATAACAGCACAAAGGAATGTAGGGGAAATGGAGGTATAGTTTTGTAAGAGTTTTATTTACTCTATATGTGAAAGGTTATAATATTTGAAGATAGACTGTGGTAAGTTAAAGACATTGCAAACCCTAGAGTAACCACTAAAAAATAAAGAGGTTTGCTCATAAGCCAAAGGTGGAGACAAAATCAAACCAAACAATATTCATTTCAAAAGAAGGTGAAAAAACAAAACACAAATGGGAAAAATAGAAAAAAACCAACAAGATACTAAATTTAAACTCAACAATATCAATAAAAATATGAATAGAGTAAACACTAATTGAAAGATATTGTCAAATTGTATTTTTAAATTTAAATTTTATTTTTTATTTAAAAGCTCTTTTATTTTTAATTTATTGATTTTAGAGAGGAAGAGAAGGAGAGAATTATCTATTTGTTGTTCCACTTATTTATGCATTCATTGGTTGATTCCTGTGTGTGTCCTGATCGGGGATTGAGCCCACAACCTTGGTGTATTGGGACAACACTCTAACATACTGAATTACCCAGCCATGGCCCAAATTGTGTTTTTTAAAAGATCCAATTAAAATATTGTCTATAAGAAACCTTCAAATATGAAGACAGAAGTAGGTTAAAAATAGAAAGATGGAAAATACTACACCATGGCTTACACTATTCAAAAGAAGGCTGAAGTACCTCTATTAATATCAGACCAGGTAGATTTCAGAGCAAAGGACATTAGTAGATATAAGGTGGATCGTTTCTCCCGGCCAGCATGTTGAGTATTGACCTATGATCCAGGTGATCACAGTTCGATTCCCAGTCATGGCATGTGCCCAGGTTTCGGGCTCGCTCTCCAGTAGGGAGCGTGCAGGAGGTAGCTGATCAGTGACTCTCTCATCATTGATGTTTCTCTCTCTCTCTCTCTCCCTCTCCCTTCCTCTCTCTGAAATCAGTACATATTTTTTTAAAAAACAAGGTGGATCATTTTGTGATAATAAAGGGATCAATTCATCAATAGGATATAACAGTCCTAAATATGTTATGCACCTAATATCAGCTTTAAAGCATATAAAGAAAACGCTGGTGGAACTGAAAGGAGAAATGGAAACATCTCAACTATAATTGGAGGTTTCAGCCTATCTTAACATTTGATAGATCAGATATACAGAAAATCAGTAAGAATATTGAAGACTTAAACAACATAACATCAATCAGGTTGACCTCATTAACATTTCTAGAACACTCCACTGAACAGCAGCATACACGTTATTTTTGAGTGCACATGGAACACATTCCAAAATAGACTATAAGGACTATATTCTAGGTTATAAAATAAGTCTTAATAAATTTAAGACAATATAGAGTATGTTCTCTGACCACAAAAGAATAAATTAGAAACAGAAGGATATCTGGAAAAATGCAAGTATTTGTAAAGTGAACAACACAATTCTATTTTTGTTTGTTTTAAAATATTTTTATTTTATTAATTTTTTTAAAATTCTCATCCAAAAAATAAAATAAAATAACATTCTCATCCAAGATATTTTTCCATTTTTCAGAGAGTGTGGAAAGGCAGGGGGGGAGAGAGAGAGAGAGGGAGGGAGAGAGAGAGAGAGAGAACATCAATTGGTTGCCTCCCACACTCGCCCTGACGGGAGGTGGGGAATCGAGCCTGCAACTGAGGTACGGTCCCTTGGCCAGAATTGAACCCAGGATCCTTCAGTCCACGGGCCGACACTCTAACAACTGAGCCAGACTGGCAAGGACTGTTTTTATTGATTTGAGAGAGAGAGGAAGGGAGAGGGGGAGAGAGGAACATCGATGGAAGAGAGAACATTGATGGAAGAGAGAAACATCATTCTGTTGCCTGCAGCACACCTCTGTACCACGGATTGAATCTGCAGCCGGGGCATGTGGCCTGACTGGGAATCGAACCAGTGACTTTTTGGTGCAGGGAACGACACTCAACCAGCTAAGCCACGCTAGCCAGGGCAGCAAAACACTTCTAAATATATCTAGTGGATCCAAAAAAAAAATTACAAGAGAAATTAGAAGATATTTTGAAATAAATAAGGTTAAAACACAGCACATCAGCATTTGTGAAATACAATTAAAGAAGTACTTAGAGGGAAATTTATAGCACTAAGTATCTATATTAGAAAATAAATGTTTCAAACACCTAAACTTCTTCCTGAAGAAACTAGTAAAAAAGTGAGAAGTGCCTTGGCCAGTTTTGCTCAGTGGTTAGAGTGTCAGCCTGCAGACTGAAGGGTCCGGTCTCAATTCCAGCCAAGGGCATGTACCTCGGTTGTGGGCTGGCTCCATCCTTTGGGTGTATGTGGGAGGCAACCAATTGATGTGTGTCTCTCACATCGATGTCTCTCTCTCTCTTTCTTTCCCCCCCACCCCCACTCCCTTCCACTCTCTGAAAAGCAAGGGAAAAAATATCCTCAGGTGAGAATTAAAAAAAAAAAAATGAGAAGATACAATTTACCAATATTAGAAATGATAGGACATCACTGTAGATCATAGTGAAACATTTGACAACTTACATATAATGGACAAATTTCATGAAAGACACAGACCATCAAAATTCCCTCAAGAAATAGATAAACCTATATAGCCTATATTAAGAAGTTGAGTTTGTAGTTCAGAAAATCTTCCAACAAAGAAAACTTTAGGCCCAAAGTTATACCAAACATTTAAGAAGGAAATAATACCAATTCTACCAATAACATAAATTCTTTCAGAAAATAGAAGGAAACACCAACTCATTTATGAAGGCAGCATTACACTAATATCAAAACCAGATGAAGATATAGCAAGTAAAAAACTACAGACCTAGTGTTTCTCATGATGTAAAAATTTTTCATAAAATTTCAGTAAATTTAAATCTAGAGATACATAAAAAGAATACTGCAGCCCAGCCGGCATGACTCAGTGGTTGAGCATCAACCTATGATCCAAGAGATCAAGGTTCAATTCCTCGTCAGGGCACATGCATGGGTTGCCGGCTCCATCCCCAGCAGGGGCGTGCAGGGGGAAGCTGATCAATGACTCTCTCATTATTGATGTTTCTGTCTCTTTTCCTCTCCCTCTCTCTGAAATCAATAACGATATATTTTAAAAATAATAATACAACATGATCAAATCCGGCTTATTCCATTAATGGAAGGTTGGTTTAACATGTGAATATCAAATGCATTTGACTTATTAATAGACTAAAAAAGAACCATATAATTATCCCAAGAAATGTAGAAAAATAATTTCTTAAAATTCTCAAACTAGACATGCATTTTCTGCAGGGTTGAAAATTGGTTCTTGGCTCAGGACAGTGAGGATCCTAAGATAGTACAGTGGTTTGTGCCTTTCTAGATGTCCACAATATATAAACAGATACATGGTATATTTTCTATTAAAAATTTTAGGGGTAGGATGCACAGTTACCCCCCCCCCCAAAAAAAAAA